ACAAATGTTTTGTTATTATTTCATCGCGTTATTTTTCAATGCAACAACCTTCTTAATTTAATTATAATTTGTTTTGCTCCGCCAACTTCTTCTTCTGGGTTGCACTTTTTTTCAGATGTCTTTATCGTATCACTCTTTTCTTCTCCGCTGGCCTCTTTTAGTCAATAAAATACATTTGTGTTTATTTTACTAGGTCACCCAATTAATTCTTGTTCCCCATTAACTACTATCTATATATATATATATATATAGTTTTACTCATGATATTGTATTTGTTTTTTTATTATAAATATTTAGTCACAATTTTTTATATAATGACTAATTGTTAATAGGTAAGTCCAATCTATTTATTAAATTAATGAAAGTTTGAATTTATTATTAATTAATTTGCTGAAAACACAAAAATATTAAAATGATCAAATTTTAATCAAATTTATTATTACTACTTTATTTAAATATATACTTCTTTGAAAATTATTTAAAAAATTATTTTGAAAAACAATTACAGAAAGTATCTGTTTATTCAAAGAAAATTACATTTGAAAGATGTTAAAAATTTTCATGATATTATCAATTTTTTGGCTCTTTTACAACAGGACAGACAAAAACAGAAAGTTGTGGTTCCACTTCGATAACATCTGCTGTTTCTTGGACATCTGATTGTTCTCTTAGTGGTAATTTATATGTGTCAAACTCTGGTATTTTATCAATTGAAAAATCCGTTATTGCAAACCAAATCATTGTTATTGAAACTGGTGAGACTATAGAAATGGAAAAAAAATTAACATTGAATAACACAAAACAAATACTAATGCGGAATCGTTCAAATTTTTATTTTATTATAATGCCTGTATCTTTTCAAAATCCCACATTTTTGTTTACAACACTTCTATTCTCAATTTATATAACAACTCATCAATTCAAATTGTATTTCTTATTATAGTTGAAGACTCCGGTAAAATACAATTATTAAACAACTCGACTCTGAATACAACGTATTACATTAACTTGGTAACTGGAAGAATTCAAGTTGGTGACACTTCTAAATTTATAGTTAAAAATCGATTGACTGGATTGAAATATTCTTCAATTTCTTTCGTAGATAATTCAAAAGTTGCCATTTTTGATATATTTTCTTTGGCTGATAGCACAACGTGTGAAATGACAGGTAATTCTTTAGTCGAAGTATATAACAGTTTTCTTATGAATACGTCATCCGATTTAACACTTGACGATAATTCACAATTGAAAGTGTTTGCAGGGCAAATTGAATTTAAAACTTTTAACGTTGTAATGAGTAAAAATTCGATACAAATGATATTTGGAACACTCGCTTTGAAAAATGAGATTTTTTTGGGTTGTATGACACATTTTTTATATCAAATTTAAGTAAGTTTGAAATCAATTCGGATACAAAGTTTGAGTTTGGGATTTCAGTGGATATTATGACAATAAGGTGTGATGTACTGTCGTGTTTTTGCACGTTTGTATTTGGAAATCGTGGGTATACAAGTGTGGTGAGTTCTACTACTCGAGGAAATACATGTTCAGTAGACTTTTTTAATGTTAAAAGAATAATCAAAGATATTCTTTTGTTCTACACCAAAACACTTTCCATAGACAGTTCGTCTGATTTCTCTAAATTTGATTGTGAGTTTGATTTGGCATTTTTCAATGGAACGATATCTCCAAAGACTGGCGAAAGTTTTCCAACCACATTTAAATTGTTAACGAATGATATGTTGTTAAGATATGGAGTTTCAGACAAGATATTTTGCCATTTGAATGGCACTGAAATTTCATTGGGAAACTTTATTGAGCCCTACTGCCCATGTACAACCAATTGTTATATCGTGCCACTTGATACAATCAGCGAATTAATAATTACTGATGAATCGAAATTGATTAAAAGTAACAAAAATACTCATAAAAACAACATAAAATTGATATAGATGAAAGTGATGTTGTCGTGATCGGGACGCTATTTGTAAGTATGAAGAGATATATTTCTTTAAATATTAATATTGAAACATTAGAAATACAGACAATTAATTTTGCGAGTATTTCATCAAATAAAAGTGTTATAGTCCTGAGCCAAAAGTACTTTATATACAACAACAAACAATGCACTTATGGTGTATACACAAAGAACAGTTTTACTTGTCTGAATTATTATTTTTGTACCAACTTATATTACTCTACAACTCCATCAAAGTGTATTGAATGTCCAATTGAAAAATGTGTTTCTTGTTTAAGTACAGGAAAGTGTATTAAATGTGAAACGAATTATCTTTTGGATAGTAAGAATAACACATGTACACTATTTCATATAGACAACTGTTTGATATCTCAAAATGGAATTTGCTTAAAATGTGAAGAAGGTAAATTGTTAAAAAAATGGTTTGTGTGTATCACCCAAGAACAATTGTCAACAATTTGAATTCAATGCAAATTGTTTGTTATGCGACACAACACGTAAATTGATTAATAAAGGCATTTTATGTGAACCAGTTGATATTTATAGTAATTCAAACTCACAAAGAAATATCACTTCTTGTGTTGATGGGTACTTTGTTAAAGACAACAAATGTGTGTCATGTCAAGATAAGTACATTGGAAGTAACTTATGTGACTTAACACGACCACTACAATGTAACACAACATTAAATTATGTATTGGAAGAAAATAAAAATTGTGAAAAAAGTTCGTGTTTTTTAATGGAAAATACACAGAAAGACCAAAATGGAAAATGTCTTTCTAATCAACCCAATTGTCGAATAATAGTAAATAACAAGTGTGTTACCTGAGATGTAAATTACATTTTATCAAATTCGGAGTGTCTTTCGTTGATAATAATAATTGTGAAATTAAAAACTCAACGTGTTTGCGCTGTAAACCGACATATTATATAGATGATACATCATTGTCTCAAACATGTGTAATTTGTGATGCTTCAAAATGCCAAAATTGTGTTTTGAATTCCACAACATGTCTTTCTTGTTATTCTGAATATTATCTCAACGTTAACCACGAGTGAATTTCCAATGAAAAACTTTTAGAAAAATGTAATAAACTATCTTCAGTGAGTAGTGGGTGTGTTATATGTAAAGATGGGTATTATCGAAATGGTTTAGATTGTCAGAATCGTTTGATAAATTGTTTTACATGTAATACAGCAAATTCTTGTTTAACATATTACTCAACCAACTACATGACAGGTGACGGCTTGTGTAAACCACAAAACGAGTTACAAGAAATTTGTTCTGATAAAGTGACATCAGGTGGATGTTCACTCTGCAAAACTGGTTTTTATTCACAACATAACGAATGTTTTAAATGTGATATTGAATGTTTTTCATGTTCACAAAGTAAGAGTTGTATGTTGTGTAATGGAGAGAACGTTGTTAAAATAGGAAGCGTTATTTTCTCTCTACAGTGTCTAAATGCATTGAAGTTGCCACTTCAAAGTGTTCCTAATGTGCATTTTGTCATATTCCAAGTGAGGATGGCACTTTTTCTGAGACGAAAAGTGTTTGGTGGGTCATATTAATTATTGTATTAGTCATCAGTTTCATCTGCATCTTATTTTTTTGTATTATTTGGTGTTTCACTCTCATTCATTTTAAGATGGATGAGTAACAAAAAGGTCACAAAGATTCAAACAATTTTGTAATGAGTAAATCCAACATTCAATTTATGTCACTAAGAAATGGTGTTTGTGTAAATCGTTCAGAAATCGACTTCAACACTGACTGGACGAATTCCAATTTGTGAAGAAACTCGACAACTTCTATGTATTGGAAATAACTCAGAAAAACAATGAAAGTTCAAATGAGTGTTTCTTCTAATTAACAGAAATTTTGATATGAACCTGCCAGTTGTTACTTTAAAACGTGGATTTGCGTGTGAATTTAAAATTTTTGTGAAACCAAATTACACTACTAAAATCTGTTCGAAAGCCAAAATTGTATCAAAGTCGTTGCAAAGTGGTGTTGAAACAATCATTGAAATAACAATCAAAGGAGTCACACAAATATCCACACGACTTAATCCTGATTTATTAATAAAAGAGAAGAAAATAAGAAAAGGTAAGTTTGGTGTTGTTTATAAAGGGACTTATCGAGGAAACGTAGTTGCAATAAAGAAGATAAGAGACTATAAAGACAGCACTGAACTATTTCTTGAATTTGAAAATGCAATCAACATGTTGGACAAATTTCGGTGTAAGTATATCGTCCACTTCTATGGGGCTGTGTTCGTCCCAAATAAGATATGTATGGTCACCGAATTAGCACAATACAGAAGTTTGAAAGATCTAATAAACCATAAAAAAACAAACGAAATTGATGAGAAAATGATATTAAAAATGATATTAGAAGCTGCCAAAGGAATTTTGTATTTACACGAAAATGGGATATTACACAGAGACATCAAGCCAGACAATATCTTGGTGATTTCTCTGGATTTCAACAACAATGTAAATGCCAAACTGACAGATTTTGGAACTAGTAGAAACATCAATTTATTGATAACAAACATGACATTCACAAAAGGAATTGGAACACCGGTTTTTATGGCTCCTGAAGTGTTAAATCAAGAGAAGTACAAACAAGCCGCAGATGTGTATTATTTGCAATTTCGATGTATGAATGCTTTGTATTGGGAAATGCGTATCCAAAAGAAAAAATTAATTTAGATGGAAAATAACAGAATTTGTAAATGAAAGTAATCGCCTTCAAAATCCAGGTACAATAATAAGTGAGACATACACTTTGATTTGAATGTGCTGGCAACAAATACCAAAAACAGAATTACAATCAAAGTTGTTATGGAAAAACTCGAAAAAGATTATCTAAATTGATAAGAGTGTTATTAAATTATTATGCGTGTGTTTTATTGAGATGGTGATAATAACTTGTTTTATCAATTTATTGGCATCTAATTTATCTAATTTTAAGTCACATTTTCTTTCAATATTTATCCAATAACATTTTCAATTTTTCAAATTTGTTTACTTTTTATATAAATTAAATTAATTCAAAATAAAAAAACTTTTTCTTTGCAATTTTATAAACAATCAACTGTTTATTTTGTTCAAAATGGCATTGTTCTTTAGTGTTTTTAACGCGTACAAATGGGATGCCCTTTACACAATTCCATTCAAATTTTTATTTTAACTAAGTAAAATAACATGCAGATTATTTTTTTCGGTAAATATGAATTTGAGTTAATATCTGGGCTGGTTATCAAATTAAAAAAATGCCAAATAGTCACTCCGAGTCAGTGAAGAAAAAGTTAAAGACAGCATTGAAAAGTAAAAAAAATAAGTTGCACCAAATTGTTGATTATGCACTGCTTCCGCTCAAATTTGGTGTTTTTTATTGGACTTTTTTGTAAGCAGGGCAATCACAACACGATGACATGGTATGGAAAATGAATGTGGTGATATAGAACATATAAACAACCGCTGAGAGGTGGACTTTTGAGAAATAATGTATACATTTAAATTGGAAAATTAGTGTGATGGAAAAAACACTTATTGTACAAATACTTATTTTCATGCAGATTTGATAATTCATTTTTATACTTTGTTCTGTATAATTTTTATGTTATTTGTCTATTGATTTCTCGTTAAGAAGTCAATTGTATAAATAAAATGAATTCTCTTTTTGTGTTTTCGAATTTGGTTTTATAGAATTTAAAAATTTATCAAGTTTAATATTTTTAAAAAATATAACATAAATATTATGTGAATTTTTATTTGTTTTTCCTTGTTGTAATTGAGCAGATTTTGAAGTCTCATAAGTAAAAAAAATGAAAAATAATAGTCATTAAAATTAGTCTTATTGAAAAAGTGTTAAGTTCAATAAAATGAACAAAAATGATTTGAATTGATTTTGGTTAAGAATTATCATTAATGTCCAATTATAAACAATATATATAAGTCATTAAAATCATTTAATGTTGTTACAAGTGATTTTTATATTTTAATATAAAGACAATTGGTTTATATCTTATAAATTCAAAATGTCGACTGAACAACCGAAAAAATCGATTTCAATTGGCATCGATTTCGGCACATCCAAATTTGCCATTTCATATCGTGATAAAACCCAACAAATTCGAACCGTGACTTTCAACGATGGCTCATCGATCACTCCTGCATGGCTACGATTTATTAGCGACACTCCCAAATCCAAAATGTCTTTTGTTGTTGGCGAACAGGCTAAATACCCCAAAGACCAACTGAAATACGATGACACATTTTACAACATCAAGCGCTTTCTAGGTAAAACATTTGAAGAGTTGCAAGACGAGTCGGAGAGTTTAGGCTTTGAGTTTAAAGAAGAAAAAGACCATGCTGTAGTTGTAGTTGGTTCTCAACAGCCAAAACCAAATACCTTTCGTCCCAAAGAAATTGCCGCCCTTTTCTTCAAAACACTGATGAACCAGATTAAAATGGAAGTGCCTGATCTTGTAAGACCTAATATGTTCGTTGGTGTTCCCGTAAAGATGACTGCGGAAGCTGTTCAAGATTTGACCGAGGCTGCCAAGTTGGGTGGTTTTGAAACTGTTGATGTTGTTACTGAACCAATAGCAACAGTTCTCTATTATTTGGATGCAAACAAGGAATCAGCAGCAAAGAATTTTATAGTAATTGACATTGGTGCTGGTACCACTGACATTTCGTGTATTCAGAAAAATGCAAATGGATATTACGAGTCGGTTTACTCTGATGGAAACAATGACCTTGGTGGGAACAATTTCGATGCAATTATATCTGAAATGATCACAGAAAAAGTTCGTGAAATTGATTCTTATTTTTATAAAATAAGGCCAAGTGATTTGGTTTCAGAGCGCTTGAACAAAAGGAGCCGCCTCAATATCCTCAAAAAAGTTTCTGAAGATACAAAAATTGCGTTTTCAACAAAATCTCAAGTCGAAATTGAATTTAAAAATTTGTTGACAGAAAATGATATGAACAACAGTGTTTTGTTACATGAACTCAATATCGATGATACATTTAATTTACAAAGAAGTGTTTTTACTAAAAAAGCACAAGACCTTTTTGATGACATTAAAGATACAATTTTTGGAATTTTGAAACATGCAACAGTACAACTCAAAAACTTTGGAAAGGTAATCTTAGTTGGTGGAGGTGCGCGTATTCCAGGTGTTAAAGAAGCCGTTACAAAGGCGATAACTAGAGTAAACAAAAATGGCAATTGTAAAATTGAAACAGAAGATAAAATGACAACAGTGTCTGAAGGTTGTGCGATACATGCATCAAACAGTTTGGGTACAAACGTATTCAATAACATTATCCAGAGATCGTCGTATACAGTGGGACTCAGTGTAAGTGGTGTTTTTGAAACTGTTGTGCCAAGGGAAGTCGTATTGCCCGTTCACTTTGAGAAAACGTATGAATGTGAAAAAGGAGAGAAAGAAATTGTTCTGAGGTTTTATAAGACCGAAATTGAACTAAAAAAGAATGTTGAATACAGAACAAATTGTATGGGATTCAAACATCTAGTAGACGTTAAAATTCCACCTGGCGACTCTGTAAAAATAGAAGTGGATGTCGATTTAATTGGAAACACTGCAATCAAAGCAACTCTAAGAAATGGCCAAGTGTTGAAAGGTGGCATGTTGGTTGATACTTCATCACTCGACAAAGAACTGCTTGCATTGAAAAGGCACATCGAAAACACAATAAGTTTTAATTGAGTTTAACTGAACATATTTATTATTATTTTAAAAAGTTATTGTTTGTTGATATTGTCAACAATGCTATAAAATACATACAATGTATTTTTTAAAACAGTAACACATTATCAATAACATACAAAGTTGTTGGTTCTATTTAATAACACAAGTATTATATCAATTGTATTAAATAAAATAACATTCAAGTAAAAATAAATCAAAGAATTCGACAGACACTGTAATCCTTTGTCAAATCTTGTGGTTGTCCATTTTGTTGATATTGGAGTTGTTCTTGATACAAATGCTCAAACAATTCATCATTGTCACAAATTTTACCTATCACAAAGTTAAACAACTCATTGACTCCTTCTCTTGTTTTTGCTGAACACATCTTAAGTATGATTTCTTTCTCGCTGTTGCACAAATTTTGTGCCATTTCATGTGTGATAAGTGGATTGGCTAAATCAACTTTGTTGCATACAACAACATAAATAACGCCATTAGCAGTCGTTTGTCTCGCTGTTTCAATTCACGTATTGACATCTTCAAACGACTTTGGATCGTGTGGATCAAACACAACTTGATGTTACTTAATGTTATAATATGGAAATAAGAATAAACAAACCAAGACAAATTTGTGTATTTTTTAATATCAAAATCCTAATTTTGCGCTTGTTTAACTTTGTGTCATTCAATGTTTGTATTACTCAAAGGGTGTTTTTAAAGTTTATCGTTGTTATTATAATTATTAAAGTGACATACCTACATCCCACAACACAACTTTGATTTCTTTTTTATTGTAAACAATCTGTTTCATATTTAAGGCGCAAAAAATTGAATTGACATTTTGGTCGTGAATTTTGTTGTCTACAAAGCGCTCAATGATTGACGTTTTACCCACTCCAGCATTTTTAACAACATTTATTTTCAATGGGACATATTTTCAACTATCTCTTCCATTTCGTTTTTAGATTTGATAGTTATTTTTTTATTAAAATTTTGGTGAGTTTTGATATTAAAAATAATAAGTGATGTTTCTATTTATTATTTAACATTCATTTTATTAAATCATATCAATATTATTTAAAAACAATACAACGTAATTATAAATAATAATATAATGATATAAATAAATAATGTGATTTAATAAACTGTTTTTCAAAAGTCTGTACTGGGGTGTCCCGATTTTTTGCATTTATTTTGTTTATTATTTTTGGGAATCGTTTTTTTGTAATAAATTCACTTATTTTTTCCAAATAAAAAAAAACAGTTTTCAAAAAACAATTTTTTACTTAAAGAATTTTTAAGCATTAAAAAATTCTATATAAAATTTGAAATAACGGTTTTTTGTTTTTGAAATACACACTACTGATCCCAAAAGTGCATTTTATTATAAAAGCTGATAAAATAAATGCCAAAAATTTTCAAAGTCGAGTCTTCATTTATAATAATAAAATAAATAACAAGCGCTAAAGTATCGCGTAATATCGATATACTGATGGTGTTGTCACAACAATGACTGAAATATCAAAACACAAAATTATTAATTGTTTGCTCTTATTTATTTTTTCTTTAAAACTCGTTATTTCATTTTATCTTGTCCAAAAAACAAAACCACGTGTCTGTTTTTGATTGAAATTTATTTTTTAACGAAACTGGTATTTAGTTACAAATTGACACAAACAACGACATCCCAATTTATTAACGTGTTTATCGTTGTATGATTTGACCAACAACGTTGAGTTTGTGTTGTAAAGTATCGAGTTGTGATCAAATCAAATAACAGGATCGGGTTTTTTGGAAAAGGCTGGCTAATATTCCGATAAATTCCCGATATTGTACAAAAATAAATGAACGGGATTGGTATTTTTTTCAAAATTAAGTCTGTACTTTCGATTTTTTGTTTTTTTTGTTTTTTTAGAAAAAATAAAAAATAAAAAACGGGACTTTAGGAAGTTCTATAAATACTGCGGTACAGACTTTTGAACTACAGTTTACATATAAAAAGTATCAAAAACCCAAATTTTACACATTGTCAATATTCACATGTTGATTCGATAAAAAATTAAACAACATAATCAATTGTATAATGAAACCAACACAGATTTTTATTTGCAAATTATATCGATGTTGATATTGCTAAATACCATAAAATTATTTATTAAAAAACAAATGAGAACTTAAAACCAACACATTCAATATATGTCGAGATTGGACAGTTACTCACTGATGATTGTTTCATAATGTTTTAATTTAATTTCTGATTTTATCAACGCCGAGATGGTTTGTAAAAAGTATCACTCAACAATGGAAAAGTTCCACTCAAACCCAATTCCCCTCACACAAAAGACAATTAAATATTTCCCACATCGAGTTTCTTAATATTTGGTCCAAACTCGATGAATTGTTTGGCAATGAATTTATTAGAGACGAGTCAAACGATGTTTTACAAACGTGTTGTACATCACCAAACAACACTCATAACACATTAATATCGTTTTTTGAAATACTTATTTGGTACAAAGTGTCATACACTTTCAGATAACACAGATAATCAACAAATTACAGATTCAAGAACATCTGTCTTGAACACACAGACAGACAACATATGTCTTCCCAGATACCACGTGTGAATAGCATTGGTAACATATGCTTTTACAAAAGTACATTTCTCAATGAAGTGACACTTCCACGAACACTCACAACACTTGGGGAGTACTCCTTTGCAAATTGCAATAAAGTGACATCGATACTTTTATCTCACAATTTGTTTTACAGTGGAAAAACACTTTTTAAAATTGCACTTCACTTGTTTGTGTTGTTCTCCCAGACACAATCAAAACCATTCCCACTTCGTGTTTCCAGAATTGTGTTTGTTTGTCTGTTGTGACACTTCCAAACCAGCTTGATATGGCAAAAAATCCTTTTGCTATTGTTCAAGTCTTGAAATTGTTGAAATACTGTTAACTAAAAATAGTGTTGGGGAGTATTGTTTTCACAAATGCACTTGTATGCAAAAATGATCACACAACACTTTGTTTTATTCTCTCTGTGAGAAATTGTTTGATAAAAACATTGTGTTTTGCAATGATAACAACTCTTGTGAATGAGTAGTGATTATTTATGACTGTGTTGTACATAATGATATCAACATAATACTTATATAATAACCCTGTTTTGTTATTACTTTTTGTTAAACCATTTTAACAACCAATAACATCCAATACTTCAACAAAATAACATGTTTATCAATAAAAGGAGTTTCTAATTGATAACAGCGCAAATATAAACGATTCATATTTACTTGTTAAAAAAAAGGAAATTACAAGAACTTTTTCTATAATATTATTTACTATTAATTGTTAAATTGTATATATTTTTTTGCTAAATAATTAACAAGTTGTTATTTTCATTAATTCCATACAAATTCAACGATATAATTAATGATGTTTTCAATTGACAATTTGTTAATTACAAATAAATGTTAAATAGAAATAGATGTTAATTTCTAATTGACTTGAATGGTGAATTCTTATTTTGTTTTTGTGTTTTGGAGGTATTCAATACACAAAATATATAGAGAATTACCAAAACTTATAAACACAACACGCCACATGGCTGTATCATCAAAAATCGATTTTGCCTCATTGGAACCGACACTGCTAGACAGAATTTACACACGAACATATAGCACGGTATATCCAACAGCTGACCAAGTGACTACAATCAACACATCCATCGCCAAAATCAACTCGATGAATGCCCCATACAACAAGCCATGCAAATTTGCACTTCAGATGGAAGATTTCAGTTCATTCCGTACGTTTGGGTTCATCACGGGCTCGAAGTATTGGATCTTCGGTGTGACGAAAAAAACAACCGGAACAGTGACTTCTCGTATGGGTATCTAATGCACCTGATCATTCTGGAATGCACCCGCCTCGGCCTCAAGACGGTGTGGTTGGGTGGGACATTCACGACTTCCTTCTTTACTGCAATTCAGTACAACTCATCGACTGATTACATTCCATGTGTCTCTCCAGTTGGAAACAGTGGCAACGGAAGTGAACTCATTTGTATAATGGCTTGCTCGCGAAAGAGAAAAGAGTTGAATGATTATTTACATTGGATATGCGGAGACCAAATACAGCAAGGAGAACGCACCAGAGATGTTCATGTTTAAAATACTCGAGGAGATCAGATTTGCACCAAGTGCTTCAAATAAACAGGAGTGGAGAATTGTTATCAACAAGAACAAAATGCACTTCTTTGGGATCAAAGGAAGTTGAACAACACTCAACATGGGAATTTGCATCACACAGGCACAAGTCGCGTTGGCTGGAAATAAAGTCGAAGGAAAATTTGAAATTGAAAAGCCGGAGATTGGTGTGCCTGGTGACTGGGAGTACTTCATCGCATTCACTGCAACTAACTGATGTAACAAATTTATCTTTTTATTCATCTTTTTGTCATTACATTCAAATTTTATATTTTGTTCTCATTATAAAGAAAAGATGTATGAAAAAAGACTGGAACGTTTCATTGTGTAAATTTTGTGTGACTTTTGAAATACAGAACAAAAACACAAAGAAAACTTATTTTGTAGCCATCTTGATGATTGGGTGTAACTCCCTCACAACTATCTCAGGCAATGCATTCTTGTATTCATCAAGAACATCCTTTCTATTGACTATAAATTTGAGTACTGGCGGTTGTGCCATCCCCGCTACTATTCTCATCACTTGGAAGTGAATAACACTGTCATTCTTTGGGTCAACATGAACAATCTTTCGAATAAATTCACACACATAAATCGCTTTTGTGTTTTTTATTAAGAACTTGAATCTCGTGGTGGTCTTCTATGCCTCGCAAATGAGTAAACACATTCATGACTCAATATACATTGATGATTAACTCGTCAAACACAACATTTATCTACTATTATAAAAAGAAATTATTATAATAGTTTATTTTTATAATTTATTTTATTAACATGAAAAACACAAAATTATTTAAATACTGATGGCTATTAACTCACCTTTCACTTTTAAAACTCACTTGTCAAATAATGACTCACTACTTCGCTTTTGACTCACTTTTA